CGTGGGCGTGTGGGTGTGGGCGTGTGCGTGTGGGCGTGTGCGTGTGGGCGTGTGCGTGTGGGCGTGGGCGTGTGCGTGTGGGTGTGTGTGCGAGCTTGCTTCGACAGAGAACCGCTGAGCGTTCGGCTGAAAGCGTAGCTTCCCAGGCTCATCGTCATCTACAATGACCTCGGTAGTGTGCAAAACACCACTCACCTTCAGGGGCTTGTGCATGCCACGAGGCAGGCCAATGTGAATCGGTCGAAATAATGTGGCCAAGTTGCAACAGTGACTGTTCCAAGACCAGGACGGACACGCACCTGCACGAAAAAGGCTGCATAAGACATCCAACAGCAATCCTTCCCGTTCTCGTGCCCAGGCATATGCTGCGCAAGTTTCTGCAAGCAAGCGCACGTGATACGAATCAACTGCGTACTCGACTTTGCAGATTCCAGATGCTATTGGGTGCTATTGGTTTTGGCATAGTCCACACCCGCCTTTACGTCCTGGTGGTGCTCCATGCCATCTAGTTTGGGATGGCTCAAGTCGAGGTAGAACTCCTGTCAGAGGCTTGCTGCAAACTTGCAGTCGCTGCACGTTTTTTGCAGCAGGACTTGTGCAATCGCCTGAGTATCACCACAGCGGCTGTGTTTTGCCCATGAACCCTACTCCAAGAGGTAGACCCATAGCTGTGGATTCGAGATCACTGCAGCCTTCTCCGTGCACAGAGATGACGCTTGAATGCCCTCTAGGGTCACGGGTGGCTCATCTTTCTGTCGACTCAGCTGTCCTCATCCTCTTCATATGCAGCATCGTCGATAATCTCTACAAAGAAGTCCTGCCAGGTCCCATCACCATGGCCGAAATCTCTTCAGCTAGCATAATTGCGGGGGTTGCTTCCAGAGGTCTTCCAGAAGCTGAGAAGCTCTTTGCACACCTCTAGCTCGGACGGCCCGTCTTTGGAGCTACTGCGAAACGTGAGACGTGTGCTCCGAAGTTGGCGAGGTCTCCGTGTCAGAATCCTTGCCAGCTACGCTCACATCGGTTTGTCAACAGGTTCACGCACAAATCCTGGCGGCCTGCCCGGCCTGCCCGGTGGTCTTCAAGTGCCCCCTGGCGGCTTCCTGGCGCAAGTCCTGAAGCTCTTTGGCCAGGGCCTCTGTGCGTATCAGGTTTAGCTTCACACATGTTCACGCCCACCTCTGCCTCTTTCATGCAAGTACTTGTGGGAGTGCAGCCGAGCTTCTTCGTAGCTCAAACCGGCCACGATTCGGTGATGGGGCGTTGTCATTTGGCGAAAGTACTGTCTCAAGTGAGGGAGGTGCGCCAGTGACAAGCACGGCACTCTGCGATAGATGAAGAGCATGACTCGTGCAACAACCACCATTGTGATCTCCCAGATAATGGTGAAGATTGCGAGGGTTTTCAAGAAGTGCCCGAAGCTGCCGGAATACATGGACCCATGCAGGTGGAACCTGTTGCAACAGGTGCTGGTACAAAAACTGCCACCACATCCTATCTTAACCAATAAGGTTACTAAGGCCCCAATATTCCCCTCCCCGAATCAAGGTTTTTTGGGGGGAGAGATTCGGAATGCAGGCTGGGCGCTGCATTGTGATGCCAGACATCCTCGTCAGTTTGCGATGCTTTCCGGTTGTGTTGTGATGAGAATACCAAGCATAATCGCCTCAGAGCTTTCCTGCAGGACCCATTCGGCCCGGAACTGAACAGTGCTTTGAATTGAAAAAGCTCAAATCAAGGCATTCACGCAAATGCTTGTATTGCTCCTGCAACATGACCGCAAAATCTCACAAGCATGATCTCGTTCGAGCCAAGTTACCGCTTCTGCGCACAGAGTAGGTGTAGGTCGGAATCAACTTCAAGAATTCCGGCCGCCAAAAATTCCAGTATGTCCAGGGATCCGCATTTGAGTATCCAATATCCTTTGCTGTTCAACCCCTCCCAAGCAAACATGAGTAGCACAGCGTGCATCGTTGCATTAGTTACGCAGCCACATATTGTCTCCATCGCAAGGTTGTTCCTGGGCCGAATGGCCGTACCAGCAGTCTGAACTTCCAGGTATGATTCCTGCTGCCCTTCCTCTTCTTCGTCGTGCTGCTATTGCCCCCGATTTTTGGACACTGCTGTTGCTGCTAGTACAGGACGGATTTGTGCCGAGAAGCGATGCTCAAGTGCGTGCCCCACCACCGTCGCGAGACGTTTTGCGTGATTCCCTCATCCAGAGATATGTTCGCAGCGTTCAATAGAGTTCGCCTCGTGCTCCACGGTAAACAAAGGACAATGGACAGCACATGACCCTACTTCCACGAAACACAACAAGATGATACAAGATGCTCAAAGATCCTGCCGATGTATTCATGTCAGACTCGGCAGCACTTCACGAAATTATGCCAACTTGCGGTTTGCCATGGTATCCTACCTTCCTGGAAGTCCCTCCACAATTCGGTCTGAAAGCTCCCTGCCGGAGGCGCTGAAGCGAGACTGAAGAGCTGTGTAGCTGGCAGAGCGCCCTCAACAAACACCCGAACCAAGGTGCAGGGACAGGAAGTCCGCAAATCCAGTTGTGAAGCAAGCCTCGTCACCAGTCCTTAGACAAGAGCGCAGATGATCAGACCGTTTCCTGATCCACCGATATCAGAAAGCAAAAGGCGTCGAGGTCGCCAAATCGGGCGATAGCCTGCTGCGTGCTTCCACAATCCCCATCCCCGGACCGGAAACAAGTGTAAGGCATCAAAAAAGCTTGCAGGAGGCCGTCATGCAGAGCTGCCTATCATTTCATGCAGATGCCACGCTAGTGAACCTGAGTGACTCAGTGAGTTACAACCCGCATGCAAAACAAAACGCTGCTGTGGCGGTATGGCTGAACTCAAGATAAAGATTCGTGTCTCCACAGGACGCGACCCTCGCATGCGCGTCCCCTGAATATCCACATTGTCCCAACTTCTTCTTGTGCGGCTCCTTAGTGCAGCACCGAGTCTTGTGCATCGTTTCACTTGTGATCAGGATGCCGCATTCAAAGGCCGATATATCGCGCGTGTGACACACACAAACCCGGAATGGAAGCAACAGCACGAGCAGCTGGGTTGGTAAGCCTCGATGCCGGAGGGGGCGAGGCTTCGGCAACCTGAACCTGAAGCGGAACCTGAAGCGCAACGGTAGACTTCTCTCGCCCCAAAAAAACAGCTCTGTCTGGGCATCACTGACAAGAGTATGTTCATCCCCAAGGCTTGGGAGGATTGGTTTCTAGACTCACAAACCTTGGCAAAATCGAGACGACAGAAAGGAACTAGGTGTTTCGGAAGACGGGTTGCAATGAACCCCTAGCGCGACTGCGTCGCAAGAAGCCCAAACCCCAATAGGATGTATTGGATCTCCCGTCCCTAATTAGGGTTGATTGAACCTTAAACCCAACACCTCTGATGGTAGTATTGTGACTAAACAAATGCACCTACCGATGGCCTGCGATCCCTTTTGCACGCCAACCTCCCGAAGCAATTTAGGGAGGGAGTGGGAAGGTGAGGAATTTCTCTCGCGGAGGAAGCATGACAAGCGAAAGTGTGGCATGGCGGATGCAATCTTTGAAGAGGCAGGAGATGTAACCGACATGCTGCCACTGCACAACTTTGCCCGCATGTGTTGTACCTCGTAAAGACTGTAGTGCACCAAGTCTCGCAAGCCAGCAGTCGAATTTCGTTGTTGACTTTCAAGAAACCGGTGCTGTCAGCGTTGCGCAAAGTTCCCCCTTTCGACAGCTTGACCTGGCGTCGACCCACATGGCAGCCAAGCACATCAAGCTGAGTTGTTTTCAGTGGGAACCACAGACAGCTCATCATGTCCTCACACTAGCCCGTATGCTTGGATCCCTTCGCAAGGCTGGACCACACTTTCGGCCCTCAGGATTCTATCTATTTCAGCAAGTTGGTGACAAGTTGTTTGCAGCGCAACCATGACAACTTTACCACATGGCGGAGCTTGAGGAAGAAGCGCTCCACATCCTCAACCTAATGTTCAGGACAGTACACAATCTCCGACATGTTCACGTGCTTACGAACGACAAACAACCCATGCTGTCAGCATCTGGGAACGAACGTGACCTCGAATCCATCGTTCTGCCAGATGCAGTGTTCGTCTTTGCACTGCGTCTGGTGTGTCTTCGTGAAAGCGGTCGCCAACATTACGTTCTTGCTAGACTTCCTGAAGACGTCGTGCATATCGTAAATGCCACCTGGGCCCCGTCGAAGCATATCACGACAGAGTTCATGCAATGTCTTGGCGGCGGTGCCGTGTTGAATGCATCAGCTTCCAGCTAGCACCTGCTGCCTAGCCACAGCCAGTAATGAGCTTGGGCAGCGTTGGCCATCTGCCTTGTGGAAGCAGCTTTAGATTCAGTCTGGCATGCGCGACAAGATCGTGCGCAAATCTGTCAGACGGTTGCTCACAATGAACATTTCCACGCAGGCTTTTTGCATGCCAGTGAGCTCTTGCTGTAGTTGTGCTGCGGTTTTGCAGAATCCGTGAAAAAGTACTTGCTCAAAGCATCCTGAACACAGCATGCGCACATGTCAGCCCGCAGGTTCCAATTCCGAGACTCAAAGCAACAAAAACCGAAGGTATAGAGTGATATCCCACGTGGTGTGATTATTCCTCGCATGCCCACGGGACCCGGTCCTTGGCTGCTTCAAGCTGAGAGAGTGTGCAGTAGGGACGGGCGCTCGTCTGATTTAGGTCGTCGCAGTCCATGTCCACGTCATGACATTTGTAGAAGTTCCTCCGCGTGCGCGGCCGGAGTACAACAAACGGCTCTGACTTCGGCCTAGCACAGCTGAGCGGTCAAACAACTATTGAGGTGGAGATTCAAACCTGCTCACACTACGAGTAGCGGCAGTCGACTTCCCTTTCATTCACCGGACAATTGCCTGAATCCGCCTCGTAGACTTACGAGAAACACTCATCTCCGAAGAACGTCACAGCAGACTTTGTTAGGAAACCGAATTCTGCGGCCTCTGCGGAAAGGACATCTCCCGGATGATGACGGGAGAGTGAAGGGTTTCCTTGTGGAGGAACTTCATGTTCCAGCCAATCCAAAAAATTCCACCGAACGTGGCCTTTGATGCATCTTGTTGACTGCGTTTCGAGCATTTGCTACCGTCGTGCTCCGACAGGTTTGGCTGTTGCTATCTTGCAACCCGTGTCGGGAAGGTGCTTCCATGGAAGCTGTCTGGGCAAGTGAAATGCTCGGCCATGTGTGAATGAGAATGACTTGACTTGGAGCTCAGAGAAGCGCCGAAGCGCGGAGCTGCACATGACCGGTCCCCTATGCGGTGCACTGAGCGATGCACGAGCGGAAAGCGATTGCAAAGGTGCCTTGGGGCCGCCAGCTGGACCCGCGTCAATCCCGAGAAAGAGGGATTTGCAGACATGTCGCAAGAACTTGCATCAACTTCATGGGAACCTCGGTACACTGAGTCTTTCAGCATGTACAACTTTTGAATCCTGGTCAATGCAATCATCTCCGTGCCCTTAATGCTCCCGCGGCATTCAGCACGAAACAACAGGCCGGACGTCTGCGAGCTTCAAGCTTTTAGGACACAACACCCACATAAACACACACTTGTGCAGATCTCCACTCCGAGTACTGGGTCCCTTTTTCCTGACTACACACCTGCAAACCTTCAATCTTGCAATTCCACTTCTGAAACTGATATCTGTACAAGCAGGTACGTTGGGCAACCAGCTATGCCCCCCTTGCTGCAGCATCCCTACTCTTTCCAATCATAACCTAGAGTCTGACTTACAAAACTCAACATTCTAGCCGCACGGCACCTCTTTTGCACCTCTAGGCATAAGGCTGGGTAGCAGGTATCAGCGTACGGTTGCTTTCCTGCCCTGCGTTTGCTCTTGCAACACAGCCAAATCATTTAATTAACAAGCGGGACAGGATATCCTGAGTCTGCCGTTGCTTCTGAAACAATTCAGTAACCGCTTCTACGAACTCTCCGATGCGCTGGTCATTTTCATTCATTCCCTCGCAACTGTGATTGCAAGACATCCAATTGCTTTTGCTGTATCTGCTGCGTAGCAAAAGTTTCCTGGCGGTATGCGCTGAGGTCAGCCTTGACCAGGGGGAGGGGGACGGGGAGGGGGAGAGGAGAGGAACAAGGGGAGCACGACGAAACAGGAGCGGACGCACGGGGTGATCGGTGTGGACAGAAGCAAGAGAAGTAAGTGAAGAAGGAGGGGGGGAGGAGGAGCAAGCGAGGCCGGAGCAGCAGAGGCACCCAAAGGGTGGGGATACACAGACGCTGCTGACGACGAACTGACACCGCTGCCGAGCCAGTTGAGACGGGGGGCTTGGTCGGGGTGCGTCCCTCCACTCCTAACTCCCGCATTTCTCCTCCCCTGTGTCACCTCGTTCCGATCAGGATCAGGGTGACCATACTCATCCGGGCCACCCCAAAGCAGACAGCGCGATAAACGAATGCTGTCTGGAGCACACTTGTGCAGATCCCCACTCCGAGTACTGGATCCTTTTTTCCTGACTACACGCCTGCAAACCCTCAACCTTGCTGGGCAACCAGCTATGCTCTCGGGGTTGGACCCCCTTGCCCTTGCCCCCCTGCCGCAACCCTACTCACCCTACTCTTTCCAATCATAACCTAGACTCTTTGGCTCACATGATGCGCACACACACACAAACAAAAACAAGACAAGAATGCTAGTAAAAACAAGAATAGCAATAATAGGTACACACAAGAAAACACAAGCAAAAAAACTGCAAAACACTGTGCCACGCAGCTCTTTTTAAATGTTCCTTGTTATTTCCAGCGAGACACCTGGAGTGGAGGTGCATTGATCAGAACGACTTGCTTGGAAGTGTAAACCTCCCACCACCTGCGCACCACTTCGATGACTGTGGCTTGTCATGCGGGAAGAGATTGACACTACCAGAAGGTGGACGACATGCCTTGCTAGTCTTCCTCCGAGTGTCGACCGCAGAGTTCCTGACCGGGGCACTAGCTCTCAAGAGCAGTGCAGCGAGTGGCTTCCAGCTTGGACGGCTCGCCCTTCTGCTTCCGAGCCCCGCGAACGGTCGCTAAACCCAGCCTGTGATAGAGTCACAGACCCGGTCAAGGCGTCTCCAATGTTGCCTTGTGGGCCGAGAAACCAAAAAAAATAAGCTGCTGCAGGCTGCCAGTCGCGCCCTCAAGCACGTCAAGCCTGCTCGCGATGGCCATCGCAGCCTGTCGACTTACTCCAGCTTCTGCCACAGTTTCTGCCTGGCAATACGAGTACACCAAGTACATGTGACCGAAGCTGCAGTGTCACCAATGGGAGGTCTGGCGCAAGCACACATATCGACTCTTTACGGTATTGACCTGGCACGTTGCCTCCTCGTGACCTTCGTTTTCCTCCTCATCATACTTCAGGACTTCATCCAGGTCGTCCAGATCAATATCACAGCCGAAGAAATCATCAGCCATGGCACTTCCAGCAATGAGTCGATACTCTCGATCCTTTCTAAAATGACTGAGCTGATCTTGGCATCTATTTGCCGCAAATACCCCTGGAATGACGAGTGGTATCAAGGACGATAGGCCGAAATACACCGATGATGCACGAAGTCTTCACTTGAGAGTGAGTGGGGCAAAGACACTGCGCGACAGCTATCAACATGCGCCACACACTCCAAGAACACCGTGCACACTGGAACGCTCAGGTGCTCGTGGCTTATCGTCCTTCACAGTCTCGCCGGGTTCGAAGGTTACCTTGGTGCTGGCTGCTTGCCGGCTGCCTAATTGCTCTCGCCGGTAGCGACACTTGTGTCTTGTGGCGACCCTCAATTCCTGGAGGTAGCGGCAGCACGTGCATCTCGCTTTCGGAGCTGCGGTGCGTTCTTGTGTCGCTTGCTGGGCTCGCAGCCCTGCAGAACTCTCCCTGAGCTGCCTAGCGGCAGTTTCGTCCACCGGCTTGAAGTCTGAATTGGCCTTCGCAGTGCCTTCACGCGAAGTGACCTCGGACCATGGGACATGGTTGAAAGGCTGACCCCGGAATTGTCACGTAGCCCACATGCAATGCCCATGCATGGCAGCAGGTGGACAGCACCCCAACTATGCGCGATGATCTCGACACTCATGATGCCGGCTACGCAGCCTACAGGCCTACAGCTTCTCCGAGCACAGCATTGACCCCGTGGAGTCTGGCCTGTACGGTGACCTCTCTGTCAGGTAGGCCGCAGCGCATCAGCTGAAGCTTCGCCATGTGGCAGGACCTCAGCCACGCTCACATCGAAGGCATCGAGGACCGCATTTTGTCCACGGCCCAGGAATGGAGGACTTGCTCAGCTGCGAGGCCGAGAAGCTCTAGGAAAGCGTATTTGTCTGTTGCAAATCCAACCTCCACCTAGGCGCGGGGGCACTTGGTCCGTTTGCGGCATCTTCACAACTCGGTCAACCTGCGCACTCGGTCGAAATTTGCGGTGGCGGCGCGAGCTTGCCCTTGCTGAGCTCGTCAGCTGTGTTGTGCGGTGCAGAGACAAAGTTGACAGGCACAGAGTGGGCGCCAAAGTCAGCCTTTTTGCCTGATCAGAATGAGCAAGCTTAGCCAAAGCCAACTCCCGAATCCGCAGAAGCACGCAGACCAGCCTCCCACAATGCCTTCCATGGCCGCATGGCGGTAGAAGGCACCTTCGGAATCGAGTTAGGGTTAAACGCTTAAGGGTAAGAGGAACTTTCACCCAAGCCAATACAATGGCTGTTTTGTGCGAGCTCATTCCCAGCCTGCGCCTGCCGGGGTCCTACAAATTAAACCCGAAGAACGGCCGATGGGCCAATGACAGCGAGATCAGCAAGTTCAAACAAGGGGCGAGACGGCTTTCCGATGTACATGTGCTGTATCACTCGGACCAACTGGTCATCCTTGCTCGGGCAAACGTGCAGTGCTGATGTCTGCGCATACGCTAGAGTACGAAACACGGTCGTCAAGATCGATCTGCAACACAGTTCAAACGAGTCTTAAGGGCAAGATTCCTCTCGTCTCATGTTTGCTCTGCCGCCGACGGGCGCGAGCGACTGGCTACTTGCTTAAACTTCCTCGTTCACTCTCCCCGGGTGAGTCTAAAAGAGCAATCCCCAACCCAGCGCAATCGTCCGGCCACCCGTAAGTCCTGCCAGCTCGCAACAAGTGTTCATCTATGTTCTCTTTCCCTGCGTGTGTAGGCCGTAAACCGTAAGTCTTCTCTTCATCGGCATTGCTTGTGATTCCATGTGTGCCGTTGATTGGGTACATCTTGTGGTAGCTTATTCTCAATGCCACAGTGCATCTTCACTGGTAAGTTATATGTTCTGTCATCCTCAGATGTGTACACCTCTGTGTCTTCATTTATGTCTGAATTCATCCAGCTTGACGTCCCTGATTCAGATTAAAACAACTCTTGTTTGTAGTGTCCTTGATTATGTTGCCACTTTGTCTTGATTTTCCCTCGCGGATGTTACATGCTCCGTGCGTGTGCGTGTGCGTGTGCGTGTGCATGTGCTTGTGTGTGTGCGTGTGCGTGTGCGTGTGCGTGTGGGTGTGGGTGTGGGTGTGGGTGTGGGTGTGGGTGTGGGTGTGGGTGTGGGTGTGGGTGTGGGTGTGGGTGTGGGTGTGGGTGTGGGTGTGGGTGTGGGTGTGGGTGTGTGCGTGTGTGTGC